AAGTGTTAACGAGCAGTTGGACAGGTGTACCTAATAAAGTGGCCGGTGAGTGTGTGTGGATGCGCCATAAGAGATCCAGAGTTAGCCCTCAGCTTCAGCTGCTACAGCAGGAAACCACTGATTAAGGCCCAAATCTTTTTATTTGTCATTCACATGTGTTCCTGTGTGCCAAAACATTCATTTGATCTGGATCATGCCTCATGAAGCCCTCTTTCCTGAGGAAACGGGATGCCTGACCTGGATGGGGGAGTGTTGTCCTGTGAGTCACACATGTGCTCGCCATGTGTGGAAGACATTCAGCAGCTGTGCATGAAGCTCCGCCTGTCCTCCCAACAGGAAGCCATTATTTTCTCTCAGTGAGGTGACATTACTGGCTGACTCCTGATGAGTCTCTCTAGGCTGCAGCTGCCTTGTTGGAATGTAGTTTCCTGGAATATTTATGCTAAAGAAGGTGAAACGGATCAGAAACTGTAAAGGAACAAAAATGTTTTAGATTTTTGCCGTTTTTTAGGATTATTTTCTTCCCTAAACTTTGATTGAGAGACTCCAGATCAGCAGGAAAACATGACAGCAACATTTATGAATGAGCTCGTTGTTCAGCGAGCGGTACGCTCCGTTTGTGACCACTCTCCATCACTTTAATGACCACATCTCACGCCGTTTATTAGAAACAATCCCAAAGAAAAGTAGTTTTAAAAGCTGCTTTTTGAAATATCTGATTTTTACATCTCTTTTTTGTTTTTGTTGTTGTTGTTGTTTTCTGGAAACCTTCATGAATAATTCTGCAAAACAATTTTCTTCAATTTGATAAATAGAGCATGAAATGAACAGTGGTGTCAAAAGTTCACACATTTGTTACTTCAGTAGAAGTATAGATACTGCAGTTTAAAAACACTCTGGTAAAAGTTGAAGTATCAACTTGACCTCTTTACTCAAGTAAAAATGAAAAACTATGTGCTCCAAAAACTACTTAAAGTATAAAAGTATAAAGTAACCTTTAAAAAAAAAGGCAGATGCCACTATATGAACTGAAAGCTCAA